CTTCGAGGCGCAGGAGAGGGCCTCGGAGGCGGAGAACGTGCCGCCGGTGATCCCCACGCCGCACCACTACCTCCTCAGCGTCTATCGTCACAAGATCTTCTTCGTGGCCGTCATCCAGAGCGAGGTGCCGCCGCTCTTCGTCATCGAGTTCCTGCACCGCGTCGTCGACACCTTCCAGGTGCGGCCGCCGGCCGCGCCGCCCCGTGGCGCTCCGGCTGAGGCCTTCTGGAGAGGGAAAAGCCCCATGTCGCTGCAGTGTTGGGGGGGTGTTTTGCAGAGGAGAACAGATGAAAGAGAGGTGAAAGGGGAGCCTGTCACATTACCGGCATTTAGTTTCCTCTTTTTTTTTTGTCTTTTATCATTCTAATACTGCACGTGAGAGGATCTAGAGTGGGTCCTGAGGGAACGATGGATTGAGAATCAGCTTGTGCTTGCAGGAGCTTTCAGCTACCAAGACTTACATTTGTTTCTCGGCCTTGTCTCTCTAGGGCTTGTGAACTCACCAAGACCAAGCTAGACTTGTTCTCTCAAGGAGTGCAGGATTCATAGCCGTGTGCTTTAGTCAGTTAGTGACAACTTATCTTTGTGTTTACATCTTGCAAGCATATCTTCTTTCCGAGAGAAGTGAGTCGCAAAACAACCACATTCCCCTCTGTGGCATCTTGACGTGATTGCAGGTTGGTTTGGGGAAGCAGTGAAGACTGTTTTTTGTCTGCTGCTGACATGGTTGTGTAGTCTGGATGCAAAGTGCCTTGTGACCAACAGCCTGACAGAATATAGGAAATGTGGGGCTTTGGTCAGACAAGAGTATCATGTGAGCTTTGCTTCCATGTGCTAGTCGGGCACATGAATGTAGGTGCTGAGTTTTGTTCATAAGAGTTCAAGGAGTGAACTGGCTCCTTTCACTTACCACCAGAGTCCAAATCCAAGGAGTTTGGGGTTTCTTAAGTTTGCCTTTCTGTGATGAGGCTCATCCATTTCTTTAGGTTGCCCAAGACTGTATATCTTGCCTTGCTGAGCTCTTTGGACTAAACTTCTTGAGTGGAAAAGTAATTTCATTGGAATTTCCAAAAAGAGTTGTCCCAGTTGTATACCCAGACCATCATTCAGCAGTTCTCTTTCTTCTTCGCGGGCCTCAGTTAGTATTGGAGTAGCTAGGAATAAGCATTACTTCAATCAAAATCTGAGTTACTGCTATTGAGATGGAAGAGTCAGCTCTGTTCTGAGTTCAGGCCAAAAATGTACAAAATCAGTTACTTAGGTCAAAGTTTTGAGTCTGTCTCAGAAACTATAACAGCTAGAGACGTTATTTTTGTTCTAAAGCAAAAGCTTAGATTCTGGTGTTTGAGGGAACAAGGCATAGGTGCGTTTTTACTGGCTTTGCAGCATACAATAAAACTGGTGTGTCTGAAAAAGACATAATGTTTGTCGCGTGGATGTAGGGCTGCTCTAGCGTCGTAGGTAAAGTAGGCTCTTGGTTTGTGCAGAATGCCTATGCCTGATCTCTTTAATTGCTCTAAGTGGATGGAAGCTGAGGCTGCCCCGCTCTGGCTGTTTCATCACTCCCTTCCCCCCCCCC